CTTTTGTACATTCTTTTGTAGAATGAAATTTAGCGTTGAATATTTGAGAATTTCTTAAATCTATATGATTATTATTAGATTTATTTGCTTATATATGCTTTAGATGGAAATTAGCCTCGATATTTTCAATACGGTTCCAATACGGTTCCAATACGGTTCCTTTTAAAGATCCAATACGGTTCCAATACAGTTCCAATACGGGTCCTTTTAAGGATCCAATACGGCTCCAATACGGTTCCTATTTTGATCCAATACGGTTCCAGTACGGTTCCAATACGGTTCCAAGACGGTTCCAATACGGTTCCTTTTAAAGATCCAATACGGTTCCTTTTAAAGATCCAATACGGTTCCTTTTAAAGATCCAATACGGTTCCAATACGGTTCCAATACGGTTCCAAATACGCTTCCAATACGGTTCCGATACGGTTCCAATACGGTTCCTTTTAAAGATCCAATACGGTTCCAATACGGTTCCAATACGGTTCCAAATACGCTTCCAATACGGTTCCGATACGATTCCAATACGGTTCCAATACGGGTCCTTTTAAGGATCCAATACGGTTCCAATACGGTTTCTATTTTGATCTAATACGGTTCCAGTACGGTTCCAATACGGTTCCTATTTTGATCCAATACAGTTCCAATACAGTTCCTATTTTGTACGGTATACGGTTACGGTTCTTCCGTTTATCGACCTCTTTAAAAAGCTTTAAAAATTGATTTAAAAGCTCTTTAAAAAGCTCTTTACTAGCTAGCTTTCTTTTAGCTTTTCTTTTCTTTTAGCTTTCTTTTAGCTTTCTTTTAGCTTACTTTTAGCTTTAAGCTTGCGTAGCTTTCTTTTAGCTTTTCTTTTCTTTTAGCTTTCTTTTTTTTCTTCTAATAAACCAAGTTTTAGTGATTAGAGACACTTTTTGTGAGCGCAAATGAAGTGAAACTCTTTGAGAAGCGATTTGTCTGAAGAGTGCAAGAGATACATTCTTTAGATACACCCTGGGGGAGGCTGGGGAGGTTGGAGGGAGACTGGGAGAAGACTGGGAGAAGACTGAGAGAAGACTAGTGTTACCCTACCCTCTCCCCTTTCTTCTTCAGCTTGCCTACGTCACGTTTCACCACCCCCAGCCATGTAGCTGTCTCTAGTCATCAGTAGTTCTTTCGTTTGCAAACTTTGCTGTAAAATTTGATGTATTCTATTGTTTAACAAATTTGCGATGATACGAATGACCGAATCGACTTGCTAATGGCGATTGCTGTATTTTCTCTAATCGTACCCAGAGCTGCCTAAATTCCTCGAAATCTCGAGAACCGCTTATCAGAGCCTATCGATGTGGGGTCGGAAAATGTAGCTGACGATGAGATCTAGTGGGGGATTTGAGTGTTGAGCTTCTGGGAAAACTTTGAAAGCCGTAAATAGTCATCAACTCGGCTCAACTGGGTTCACTACTATTAGAGAAAATACGGGTTTTTTTGATGACAACTAAGCTTTTTAAGGACTTTTTCATTTATTTCGCAGAAAGTTATGATTTTGTGCTAGCTTTCAAGAGGAGATTCAGCGCTATCGAATGACTAGAATAGTTTAGTTTATCTTTGAAAGTTCATCAAATTGAAAACAGTCAACGACTACGCGACTGTACGTCAAAAAGGCCGCTGCGAATGTTTTAAGAGCTACAAAACACAGTTGAGCACATTTGTATGCGAAAAAAACGCCGAATACGTTACTGTACGTCAAAAAGACGCCGAATACGCAGCTGTACGTCAAAAGGATGCCGAATACGCTACTGTACGTCAAAAAGACGCCGATTGCCGGCGAGAGGAGTCGAACCTGCGACCTCTCCTCCTTTTTGTTTGAGAGACGCACGCGTTAACCACTCGGTCATGCACCTGGCGTAGTGGGAGCGCACCTTTCTCTAGCTCGCTAGACCCGAGTTCGACTCCCGCCCGAGTTAGCACTTTTAGTTTTTCATGAATTTAAAAACATGTTGTATAACAAGATGGGATTCTAAGTTAGTTTAACTGAGCCCAGTGAGCCGTTTCAAATGACCTATAGTTAGTTTAACTATAGGTCATTTGAAACAGCTCACTGGGTGACACAGTTGACACAGACAAACAGGCAGACACTGCTTTTTTATCTAGTAGATATTAGGCGTTTCGAATGGAGTAATGTCAATCGGTAAATTCATTATTTCGGAAATAGCTTATAAGATAGAGTTTCTAAAGAAAGAGAAATGGAGAAAGGGATTTATAAAGGAAAATATTAAAGGAAAACGATTGGATTAGGGTATTCAATCTAGATTAGGGTATTCAGTCTAGATTAGCTGGATTACGGTGTTCAATCTAGATTAGGGTATTCAATCTAGATCAGCTGGATTACGGTGTTCAATCTAGATTAGGGTATTCAATCTAGATCAGCTGGATTACGGTGTTCAATCTAGATTAGGGTATTCAATCTAGATCAGCTGGATTACGGTGTTCAATCTAGATTAGGGTATTCAATCTAGATCAGCTGGATTACGGTGTTCAATCTAGATTAGGGTATTCAGTCTAGATTAGCTGGATTACGGTGTTCAATCTAGATTAGGGTATTCTGCTATTTTGTAGAAAACGTTAGTCGTGAGTTTATAAAATCGCTTTCCTTTCTTTTGCAATTTAATATTTTGTTTTATAAATCCTTTTCTGCTGCTTTATCCCTTTCTCCATTTCTCTTTCTTTTTCTTTCAAATTTTCTTTAGCGGTTCCGTCTAATCGTTCCTTTTTTTTATTCATATCTTTTTCTCTTTTTTCTCTTTTTCATTTTCATTTCCAAATATCATCTGTTATTTTATCGTTTTTTAAAGTTATATTTTAAGAGAACAGATATCTTCACTCATTTTTGAGTTTTCTTCAGCTTTTTAATTGCATTTCGACTGCTATTTTATTAGTTTATTAGATTTATTAAAAAAAGCGGTAATCATTGGATAACTAGACCATCAATCACCCGTTTACCAAATGACAAGCGTTTACAGCTTCTTCTGTACTTTGTGCTTACTAGTAAACGAATCTTTCTAGTGCACTGAAGACTTCATTTGTTTACTACAGGAGAAGCTGTAAACGCTTGTCATTTGGTAAACGGATGATTGATGGTCTAGTTATTCCATATGATCTAATAAACTAATTAGCCAAATGACAAGCGTTTACAGCTTCTCCTGTACTTTGTGCTTACTAGTAAACGAATCTTTCTAGTGCACTGAAGACTTCATTATTCTTGCAGCAAATCGAAGAATTAGCGTAGAAAAGCACTGAAGACTTCATAGCACTAGAAAAGCGTTTACCAGTAAGCACAAAGTACAGGAGAAGTTATAAACGCTTGTCATTTGGTAAACGGATGATTGATGGTCTAGTTATCCAATGATTACCGCTTTTTTTGTTGTTTATCTCTTTTTGAAACATTTCTTTCAGAGATCTAGCAAAACGTGTGCAAAAATCTTTTGTATAAGTCTCTGGAATCTCTAGAATCTCTGGAAATCTTTTATTTCTATCTTTATTTCTATCTTTATTTCTATCTTTATTTCTATCTTTATTTCTATATAATCTATTCTTCAGTCACATATCCAAAAAGCTTTGAGAAAAGTGACAAAAAAACCGATATCGACATTTTCTTTGAATTTAATTAAGTGAATATCTTTTCTTTTATTGCTATTCGTTTTACTATTGCTTTTTCTTTTCTTTTCTTTCTTTTCTTTTCCTTTCTTTCTTTTCTTTCTTTTCTTTTCTTTCTTTCTTTTCTTTTCTTTAAATCAAATTCTTTGTCTTTTTGCTTATATGATCGCTTTTTTTGGTAACAAAATTCTCACAAAACTTTTAAAAGTAAGCAAAAAAGGATCACTATCATCAAAATTGTCTTTTCTTTTCTTTTATTTAGATTACTGTAAGCACTAGACATAGGCATCGAATTGAATCACCGATTTGATTCGATTCTATTCGATTCTATTCGATTTGATTCGTTTCGATTCGATTCTATTCGATTCGATTCCATTCGATTCCATTCGATTCTATTCGATTCCATTCCCTTTTTCAACTCGAGTCACCGATTCGATTCGATTCAAACCAAAACGATGCCCATATCTAGTAAACACCAAGTAAAGCTATCTCTCTTTCTCTTCTAAGTCTATCTCTTCTAAGTCTATCTCTCCTAAGTCTATCTCTTCTAAGTCTATCTCTCTTTCCTCTCTTTCTGTCGATTTTCTTTCTACCGTACTCTTTCCTAAACAGCACTCGTGCTACTTTTGAAACGTTTCCTGAACACCATTCCCGTTTCCTGAACACCCCTCCCATTTCCTGAACACCCCGTAAACGCTTTCTCGCCACCATAATCCTTCTTGTCTGCTGATTCAGTCATCCTACCGAACTTCATTTGAATCTGTTTCCTAAAGCATGCCCCAGTTACCGTAACTTTTCTCTTTCATCGTGTTTACCATTCCGTTTGATCCGCTTTTATGCGCCCATTTTCTAAATCTTACCCTTCTACCGTACCCTCTACCGTACCCTCTACCGTACCTTGTACCGTATTCATCCTTTTCTAAATCCCGTACTCCTTTTAATCAATTTTCTAAACTCTTTTCCATCACCGTAGCCTTCAAATGAATTTCTAAACCGTACCCTCACTTTCTCAGACATTTCAGCTCTTCACTTTCTCAGACATTTCTTGTCTTACCGTTTTGCCTGTAATCTTGCAATTCTTTTTCTAGAATGTCCTCTTTCTAAACCTTTTTCTAGAATATCCTCTTGCTACCCTATCCCTCCAATGTCTGTCTTTTTCCTTTCAACTTTTAGTTATCAAGAAATTTTCAGAGAATTTACCTCACTGTTGTCTCAAAGCAGCGATTTGAAAAGCAGCAAATCGATTTGATTTGAAAGAAGCCCTCACTCTTGACCACCACTTCACATATTCTTTGCACAAATTTGCATATTAAATTTGAATTTCTCTATTTCTCTATTTCTCTATTTCTCTCAAAATCCTCCACAAAATGGTTCAACGTCGACGCAGCAAAACCGTTTGGAAAAGATGCGAGATGCAGGTGGGCAAATCATTTAAAAATCATTTAAAAATCATTTCAAATTTTCATTTAAGAAAGATCTACAAATTCTAGTTCGAGAATAAATAAATAAATAAAGGTGAGAAAGTGTTGTGAATGTGAAAAGTTGTGCTAGAATTTATCGTACCTTGTTCTTTGTGATGCTCAAGCAAAGAAACCCTTTCTAGCTCACAGAATTCCTCATTTTTCTCACTTCATTTTCAATCAATCCATAAGCTCAAGAGCAATCTTATATTACATCCAAAGTTTCGCTTAGCTTTGCTAGTTGTCCTGAGAACAGCTTTGATTCAATTTCATATGGAATTTACTCTAAGAACAGCCTTGTAATCAGCCTTGTAATCAAGCCTGTTCAGCCTTGTAACCAAGCCTGTTCAGCCTTGTAATCAAGCCTGTTCAGCCTTGTAACCAAGCTTAGATCAATCCCCAAATCGACTATTCATCAATATTTTCAATAGACACACCTGTTGGTCAATTTGTGAATGAAAAACGAAAGGGACTGGACTAATAGAGGAAAGGGCGCTCAGGAAGCAAAAAATCTAGTCTAAAAACTTTTATCGATAAATGAAAAACCTCAACAACGTCTAAAAATAAAAGTAAAATGGAAATATTATCAAAATCAATGCCTTTAAAAAGTTACTATACTTTCCCATCAAACTATGAAGATTTAGATTTCTTTGTTTCCAGAAAACAATTCATATTCCTCACAATTCATTAACATGCCAAGGAGTAGAGTAGCCTAGCAGGCCAAGGAGTAGAGTAGAGATCAGCGATGTTCAAAGCGGCAAGGCTAGAGCAAGTTCCAGTCCTATTCTCTGGTATGTCCAGTTCAGGTAGTCCAATCTAGGCAGTCCAGTTCAGGTAGTCCAGTTCAGGCAGTCCAATCTAGGTAATCCAGTTCAGGTAGTCCAATCTAGGTAATCCAGTTCAGGCAGTCCAATCTAGGTAATCCAGTTCAGGCAGTCCAATCTAGGTAGTCCAGGAACTTTTTCCTTCACCAGGTCTTATTGTCGGTCAGATCAGAACCAAAAGCAAATCCAAGCCTGTTCTTTATTGGGATAGGATTTAGACCAGATCAAATCAGCTAACTAAAAAAAGCCACGAAAAAACGAAAAAGCAAGAGCAGGACCGAATCCCGAATTACTATCGAGGCCCACTATCCATCGCTACCCAAAACTCAATGATTGAAAAGCTTTCTTTAAAGCTTATCTTCGAGATTTCGATTTAATTTTTAATGCTTTCTTTAGCAGATTTTGATTTCATTTTATAAATCTCCATACTCGATTTAATAAGATTTATATGATCGAAATAGAAGCTAATGGGAAGTTCGTCTCTTTTCCTAGTAAAGCCTTGGATCTAGCCTGCCGTAAATACTGTAATATTGCCCCACCCCCATAATGACGGCGCGGAGCGTTGCGTAGTCTAGCTTTGAACGCGTTTTTCTCGATACTGGTTTATGCTACAATGCGCGTATAAGTATCAAAAAATAGCCCTGAATTTCAGCTATTTTTTGATACCCAAGCGCGCATTTTAGCTTAAACCAGTGTCGAGAAAACCTCGTTCAGAGCTAGGCTAATGCTTTGAAAGTACGAGCGCGACACTTTTCTCGACACTGGTTTAAGCTAAAATGCGCGCTTGGGTATCAAAAATAGCTGAGATTCAGGGCTATTTTTTGATACCTATACGCGCATTGTAGCATAAACCAGTATCGAGAAAAACGCGTTCAAAGCTAGACTACGCAACGCTTCGCACCGTCATTATGGGGGTGGGGCAATATTACAGTATTTACGGTAGGTTTATTAGCGTAGATTTTCTAATAGGAAATAATTCTAATAGGAATCGATGGTGATTCCAGATTCATTAATGTTCATCCGATCATCCGATCAAATCGAAATCCCTTTCGATTCGTGGATCTCCTTTTTCCTTTTTCCGGGAATTTACCGGAAGTTTTGTCTGTTTTCTCTTTTTTTTTTTCAAAACTTTCAATTCGAATTTCATTTGATCTTTATCGAAAAGTTTATTAATTTATTACTATATTTAACTTATTATTATATTTAACATATTTAACAAATATTACTAATCTATTGGGTTGCGGAGAATGAGTCGGCGCCGAAATTTAAAGAAACTTTTTGCACCCATAAAACCTTCTTTAAATACACGTTTTGTTCCATCAAAATGGTCGACTATTTCTTTACAAAATGGCTTTTGAGAGATTCCACAAAGCTTTTCTTTTTTGGGATTTTATGGATTCCCAAACACAGCTAATCAAAATGACAAAAAGTGCGACTCATTGCTTGAACAGTTTCTTCCACATAAACCTCCTTTGGTGTTTATATAAAAAAGATAGAGCACACTCAATTACATAAGTTACCAAATTTTCAGGAAGATCCCTCCAACCGTTTGCTCTAGATGACAGTTTATCGATTTTGTGAAAAAATGATCCTTTGTTGAGTTGAGGCGCTGTTTGAGTTCTCTTTTAAATATTATTTTGTAGAGAATTAGTTACCCTTCTACGGATATCAAACGCATATCATTTGACAAAGTCTGCTATAAGTTTTAGAAATTTCTTTGATTTTCGGCGCCGACTCATTCTCCCCAACCCAATATTTAACAATGCACTAACAATCGGCTTGTGACAGGGTAAAGCTTAAAAGCTTAAATCAAAAAGAAACACTGAGAAAAGTTTGTGTAAAATAGAAATCACAGATAGCTGAGTATTCTATAGCCTTTCTACCGTAATCCGTCTTTTATTTTGCACTAATTTCAGCGATGCTAGACGTACCGTAAATGACGGTGCGGAGCATTGCGTCGTCTAGCTTTGAACCCGTTTTTCTCGACACTGGTTTCTGCTACAATGCGCGTATAGGTATCAAAAAATAGCCCTTAATTTCAGCTATTTTTCGATACCTCAACCCGTTTGAGAATTAGACTTTAGACTACGCGGCGCTCCTGTAGGAGCCGTTCGATTACAGCATTTACGGTAAACAGGTCTAGTAACGACGAACGAGTTTTTCTCGACACTGGTTTATGCTACAATGTTCGTTTTGGTTTCAAAAAATAGCCCTGAATTTCAGCTATTTTTTGATACCAAAGACGCATTTTTTGAAAGTACGGGTGCTTTGCAAAAAATGAAATACTAAAAAAAGTTTTCGACTACGCGACTAGGGCGGTGGGGCACTATTACAGTATTTACGGTAGCTATTTATCGCCAAAATTAGTGCAAAATGAGAACCATAGAGAGCTTTTATTCTTGAGCCATTTTCTCTTCTCCACTAACTCACAGTAATCCATTTTCTATTCTGCACGATATCTCACTAACAAATGCTCTAATTTTAGCCCAACTTCCCATCAACACAATCCGCTTCTCGTTTCCAGCGACGAGCTTTTTCTGAGACTGTTGATCGAGAGCCTATTGAATCGAAATATCCATCGTACCCGAGTTGGGATTCATTTCATCCACTTGAGATGAATGATGAGATCGAAATGGTACAAGATGATGAGCAAATCTCGTGGAACAGTGAAAGGAGTCGAGTCTGGGATGAGAACAGAGGGAAATTCGCGGAAAGACAAAACAAGAGGATTTTCGTGAATACGAAATGGAAAAGAGAGCATTGGATTGGTGGATATGGATATTGGAGGTGCGATGATGGGGGTGATGGGTGGGAGAATCGAGACGAGGAGGAGGATCACGGGGAACAGGTCAGTCATACTAACACGCTCACTAACAAGCTAGCAGTGTGTGGTACTACAATACTGTGCTACAATATTGTACTTGAAACTAGTACTCGTTTTAGAGGGATTTTCTGTGATTCTCATTTTGAAAGTATTTTTTACTAGTTAGTATTTGAAGGTACTAGGTAGTATTTTAAAAATCGTGGAAGTTGAGGAAGTTAGGAAGCTTCTCGATAGCTAGGAATAGGCCAAGGTTTTCCTTAGGTCTAGTACTAGGTTCACTGTCAGACTGTCAGGTGCTCTAGGTACTCCAGGTACTCCAGGTACTCCAGGTACTCCAGGTACTCCAGGTACTCCAGGTACTCTAGGTACTCCAGGTACTCCAGGTACTCCAGGTACTCTAGGTACTCTAGGTACTCTAGGTACTCTAGGAACTCTAGGTACTCTAGGTACTCTAGATACTCTAGGTACTCTAGATACTCCAGGTACTCCAGGTACTCTAGGTACTCCGGGTACTCTAGTAGGAACTCTAGGTACTCTAGATACTCTAGGTACTCTAGATACTCTAGGTACTCTAGGTACTTCAGGTACTCTAGGTACTCCAGATTCTCCAGATTCTCCAGATTCTATCTATCTCAATTCATTGTAAGTCTAGGGCAAATTTGAGTATACCAAACCGTCACTAGGCTGTCAGATACTGTTTTGTAAATCGTGTAACTATCTTGTTACCGTAAAATTACTATTATAAAAATGTTTTGTTATATAGACTATATATAAGATTATAGATTATAAGCAAGCTAAGAAAGTCAAATTAGGCAAATATTGCTTTATCGAACTCATTATCAAATTCAACTGTCCTATTTTGATCTCTGCCCGCTTTTCTTTAGCTTTAGCCACTCAGCTTTAACCCCTTTAACCGCTTTAGCTTTAACCACATCAGCATTCTAACAAATCTGTTATACTAAAACTCTTTTTGTTATTTACTCTGCAAATGAGGCTTTAAAAAGCTATTCTTTAAGCTGTTCTTTAAGCAAAGAGTAATGAAATCCCATTGTAAATTGAAAATTGCCGGTGTCTCTAAAATGAGATCAACTCGTAAACATGCCCGAAAAATTTCGGAGCAGATTTTGCAGGGGATTTGCGCGTTTGGATTTCGACGCTAAACTCACCCACGCATATTATTTTTGATCTAATTTCTCTGTGGGTTTTGTAATTTTTGAATAGTTAATTAATATAAATATAAATATAAATATAAATATAAATATAAATATAATATAATATAATATAATATAATATACAGGGTGCTTCATAATTATGGGTCCAGAGGGTCCAGAGGGTCCAGATAAATCGTATTAAAACCTTAAAAACAAGTCACCCAAAGTTTTTATAACAATTATTTATATGTTAACAAGTGTAAGATTGAAATTTCAAAAATGCCAGAAACGTAGCACACGCCTTAGCTTCTAGGCTCAGAAATTCTCATTTGGCGTGACATGAGTTGAACTGATCACCTCTCTCGCACTTTTTTTTGCTGTTTGACTGAATCACTACAGAACGAGCATCAGCATTTTCCTTGACCAACTCAGCTTCATCAGCATTTGTTTCCAATTCCTCCTCTTGTTCACGAGAGTTCCGAAATTTTGAGAAAAGAAAAGAAACGTGTCAAAAGTCCTCGTCGAGGTCGATCGAGTCTAACTTGGCTTGAGGCTTGAGGCTTGAGGCTTAGGCTTGAGGCTTGAGGCTTGGGCTTGGGCTTGGCTTGAGGCTTGAGGCTTGAGGCTTGAGGCTTGAGGCTTGAGGCTTGAGGCTTGAGGCTTGAGGCTTGAGGCTTGAGGCTTGAGGCTTGAGGCTTGAGGCTTGAGGCTTGAGGCTTGTCCATCTAAACAACACTATAATCTTAGAAATTATCTCGAATAACAAACGTAAACATAAAAAGGTAAACAAAAAATGCAAAAGAAATAAAATAACAACATATAGGGGGATTTTAAACGAAATTTTGAATGCTTTGAATTTCTAAAATTCCAAACCTATCTATCTAGAGGATGCACCAGAAAGCAAGCGATTACGCGCCCGCACAAAGAACACCTCAGGGATTCTTCTTTTGTTTTTTAAATTGCACAAAAAGAAGAAATTCTGCTGTAAATTTGTCCCCTGGGCTTTTCCGAGTCGCCAAATCGATTAGGGATATTCATTTTATTGAGTTTACCAATTGAAACTCAGATTTAATAGCTCGACAAGCACATGGGAGTCTGTGTCCTCTTTCCTTTCCCATCCACCCCCGCAATCTCGCTCCCTTTGCCCGTTCTCGATGAAAATGTTCAATAATCTCTTTGCCCATTCATGAATGCAATCAATCAAAGCTTTTCCGATCAAAGCTTTTCCCAAAACTTTTCAAAAAAATGAAAAAATGCAAAAAAAGAATGCTTTTAATCCAAAAATAATAGGGATGGTCAGTAGGGCGGAAAATGGGTTTTTTTTGTTTATTTAATCTTTAAAAAACTAAACTAAAACCTTTTTCTTATCTTCAATTGATTATTGATTGAAATGAATCTGTTTAGGCTTTAAAAACATTTTAAAAATGACAAAAAATGACTCATTTGTTAGGCTAAACAAAAAAATCGGTGTCGATGTAAGATGTGACTCAAAAAGTTCGTCGATAATCGCCGAAAGTCGTCTTTTTCCCGAGAAATTCACCGAATTTTCCGATTTTGCGATTTTCCAATTTTTTCACATGATAATATAAAGTAGAAAATTTGCGAAATAGCGAAATACTTATTTTCCAATGAATTCGTTTTCTAAAACGTTTCCCTTTCCTCTTCCCTACCGTAATTCTCTGCCCTCTATTCTTGTCTCTATTCTCCTCTCTATTCTTCTCTCTATTCTTCTCTCTATTTTTGTCTCAATACTCAATTTTGCATAATCTTTGTGACAAAATTGTTTTCGTGTTTTGAACATTTCCCGATCGGTCTTTGATTGGGAAAAACATTGAAATGATTTGTAAAAATTTTCTATAATCTTTGGTCATTGGGAGGAAAACTGCTTCCTAAATACTGGTTTGATAAGTAGAATTGGGTAATTAAACCAAGAAAGCACTCAATTTTTTGGTGCCAGATAATCAGCGTTTGAATGTGTACTTTGTGCTCTCTAGTAAATGCTCCCTTTCTGGCACATTCAATCAGCTGTCAGACAGATGTGTCATGTACTTTGTGCTCGCTAGTAAACGCACCTTCTCTGGCACAGTCAATCAGCTCATCTGTCATGTACTTTGTGCTCAAGTGTAAACGTACCCTTTCTGGCGCATTCAATTATCTCATCCTTCATGTACTTTGTGCTCTCTAGTAAACGCTCCCTTTCTGGCACATTCAATCAGCTCATTCTTCATGTACTTTGTGCTCTCTAGTAAACGCTCCTTCTCTAGCACATTCAATCAGCTCTCGATTTTTCTAGGAACGCTGTCGCGAAATGAAGAATTCAGTGCACCAGAAAGGATCGTGGTCGTAAGAAAAATGAAGAATTCAGTGCACTAGAAAGTGTGCGTTTACCAGTGAGCACAAAGTACATCTCAAAGATTTTGCACAATATTCAGAAAACTGTATTTTTGATGACATCATTTCTAGAAGTAGACCGTTTTTTCGAGAGAATTCCTTCTGAATCTAGTTTTTCAGAGAATAAAAGGACTCCAACCTTTCTTTCTCTAAATCTCTTCAAATTTCTCGATATTTCTTTGATGAGTCAAAAGGAGAAGAAAAAAGGACAATGAACTTAGAGAAAATTCCTTTCCTTTCCTTTCCTCATTCTTTTTCTCTATTTATTTTTGCTTTGTTGTTGTCTAAGGTTGTTCTTTTCTTTTTCTTTAAGCGCTAAAATCTACTATAAAAGTATCATGGAATTCGACATTTAGACTTTAGTTCACTTAGACTTTAGATCTTCTATTTGCCCTTTATTCAACTCATTTTTGTTTTTATTTTTATTATGAAGCATAGACTTTTCTGAGTGCTGAACTAGATCTTGTCTTTTAGAATCTTAAACCAAAGTTCCAATTTCCAATTTCCCAAGTAGACTGGATAAAATGAATCGATTCAGCGACCCCGAAAATCCCTGGGTAACGTCAAAATTGAACAAATTTAAGGTACTCTCCCAAAAAATCCGAAAGGACTTTTCCACCAACCCAATATTTCTTTTTTTGTAAATATAATTTAAGAAAACTATGATATTTATAGAGCTAAAGTTATTTATAGATCTATATTTAACGATCTAAAGTTCAAGAATTGCTTTTTTTCTAAATGGAATGCTTGCTAACATTTCGATTAAAGCTCAACAGCATTAGCAGGTTTATTCGTTAAGAAAAGACTTACTCCAATTCAATTCATAACAATTCATAATCTAATAACAAATCTCCTGTTTATATAAGTTTAAATAGCAATTTATAAAAGCACAAAGTTGTAGACGAGGCTTGTGAAAATTGTAAACTCAAATCAAAAAAAAAAAGATAAACTTTTGAAGAATGGAAGAGAAATTGAGTCTGTCAAAGTTAAAAGGCAATTTTGAAGGATTCAATCAATCAATTGTGAAAATATTCATTTTCTATATCCTTGATTTTCTATAATCCTTGATTTTGTCATTAATCAGATCAATTCATGTTAATCTTAACTTACCGTAACTACTCAGACGGACGAGCGACGGACGGCCATAATGACTGCGTACAGACACGTAGTCTAACTTTGAACGTCCCATTCTCCGCGCTGGTTTAAGCTACAGGGTTCGCTTGGTTGTCAAATGATAGTCCTTGAAATCTACTATTTTTTGGTACTAAAAGTGTAGCTGGGAAAGATCTAGAAGCTGCAAAAAAAACTGATTTTCTAAAAATATGTGAAATTTGTCAGATTTCTCTTCAAATTCAAACAGAATATCTTTTCCTATAAAATAAAAGATATTTGGTCTAAATTATTCATTCTAAACTTTCAGCTGAATTGAACTATTTAGTCTTTTAAAATTTCCAGATTATTGAATAAGAAAAACAAAAAAAGCTATTTGCTGAAAACCTGAGTGTACCAACTAAATTGTACTTTTGTATAACTTTTCTATAACTTTTTTATAACCAAATTTCATAAGGATCATTTTAAAACCAACCCCA